CTCGATAAGGCTGTCGAGTAAGTCAAAAGATGAGTTATTGCTCAAGTTTTTACTAATTAAACAGTTCTTGGTCTAGACAAAGTATTCATTTCAATGTATCGGAGCTCTAGAGTAATAACGTTTCGTTTCAATGGCAAAACTCAATGACAGATGTTTCTGTTACTTTAAGGCCGCCATGTTTGTGTCCCTACGAGGGGCACAAACATGGCGACACCATACAAAGCTCTATAAATTTGAGTGAAACACTTTCCCGAATAACGCGCGGATGGAAACCGTACAGACTTAAAACCTGGCGAGGTTATTTATATATCAATCATCTTTCATATCTCAGCTTCTTGACTTAATTGATTGAATTGTTACGATTTTTATTTTTGATGGCGTGACACTGTAAACCAGCCATAAGCGGGAGGGGGCTTATAAGCGACAGTTTTTCGTTACCACTTTGCAGGGTAAATTCTAAGGATTCATTTTTTTCTACTGCAAAACTTTGTTTCTGTTTTGGAAGTTGTTCGGGTTGGCAAGCTTTTTTGTGGACTTTTTTGAGTCTGCCTGTTTTATGATTTCTGGAAACAAGTTGCAGTACGTGAAAGAGTACTTTAGGAAAACCGTTGATTGACTGGTATATCAGGGTCCCCACAGGTCAGGAAATGGTCAGGGGAAAAAAATTCTTCAAGGTCAGGGAAAAGTCGGAATTTTATTTTGAGTCAGGGAAAATTGACAATTTTAAGAAAGGTCAGGGAAAATTGAGATAGTTTAACACGGCTGGTTTAATACCATTCAAGGTTGGAAGAAACATTTGGGGTCACTGTGATCTCAACGAAGAAGGAAAATTTGTCGTAATTAACGAGTGGAAAGGACAGCTGTAAGTTGAGATCAGAAGCGGCTTCTAGATCTGACGTTTTGTATTTATTTGATCAGGAAAATGTTATATTTGTCGGGAAAAAGTCAGGGGATTTTGAAAAGTGATGTCTTTGGCAACCATGTTTATGGTCCACAGGGAGATCAATACCAAGCATATGACCACTGCGCGTTGCGCACAAAATCCTGACATGATACTTTTGTTTTATTCTAGCCCTGACAATGGTTCATCGTGTAGCGGTGGGCATGGAGATGAACGGAGTCCTCAGATATTGGCGAAAGCTGTTCAAGTTCACTCTGAAATGTTGAAAGGGATGTACTTTGCTTAATGACAGCTAATCAAAAAAACATAAAAAAAAAAATCAAAAAAACATTGAAAAGTTGTACTTACAGCCTTAGAAGCGCAGATTTCCACATTCCCAGATTTAATACTGTCACCTATTGGAAACACTCGCTAAGATAAATTTACCTATGCTGTGGAATCGACTCTCAACTAACTTAAAAAACTTACCGTCTCTACAATCTTTTAAAAGACAGATCGCGGTAACTAATCTTTCACATAAAATTGAAAGTCAATGCGAGAACTGTGTTTTTTGTAGCACATGATCTACTTACGAATGAACTATATTTGTTGAAATTACTGTAAATAATGAAGTTAAATTTTAGTCTCTTTTTATTGTAAATATCAAATTTAGGTTGTTAAATTTTCAAATTGATTTTATTTCTTTTATGTGACCCCTATTAGTAGAGGGTTTTTTTATCCTCGGCTAGAATGTATTTGACACATTAATAAAGTTATTGATTG